CTAACCCTAACTTAAACGAATTTAAAGATTTTTAAACGCTGTCACGTGAAAGTGAAAATTTTGACGGCGATACTGGGTAAGATGTTATTGGTTAGGGTTAGAGGAATTTTAATAATACCACGTGAGTTTGTTCTGTCCAGTTCTGTTCCTAAGCTCTGTCCGTAGAATTTCCGAGTTACAGCATCGATCACTTCATATGACCTGAACAGGAGTATAAATGCACGCGATGGCTGAAAAGTATACCATTTTACCTATACTTTTGAGTCATCTTATCTCTTTACTATTATTTCAAAAATTATGTAAAGTTGGTCATGAAGAATCCTTGATCAACTTTAATGTTATATTATAAAAGGATCCTTTTTTAGTATTAAATTTGAACATCAAAATCTTATTACGAAAAAATCAATTTTTAGAATACCGTTGGAGAAATTTCGTGAAATATGAATTATTTGATAACCAACTTGCGGTACGCTTTTAATTTAGCTTAGAAAATAGAGGGGCAAGCTTAATAAAATTTAGAGTAATTAAGTCAAAAAATATTTTATAGGCAGTGTTTAGTGTTCTCAAAAAAATTTTAATATAATGCTTCTAAAGTGTTGTTAATTCTAATAATCTAAATTAAAAAACCAACTCTAAAACATTTTACACCAACTTGAGTCAAATTAAAATTATTGTAGCATTACTTAATTTTATGAAATACGTAGTTTATAATTATAAAGTACATAACAAAAATACAACCAATTTTACTTTGGATTGACCCTCGCTTCAAATGATGTATTAGTTCATTATATTGAATAATTTTGAGAACATTGCGAAAGAATAAAATGTTCTCAAATAAGAGAACTTTATTTTAAATATTAATGTTCTTAAAAAAATTGAATGTTCTTTAAGAACCATGAGAACACTAAATTTTAAACACTGCTCATAGGTAGAGAGGCAGCCCTTTGACCAAAAGGCATGCCTATATCATGTGATATAGAGCTATTATATAATTGGCTAAAGCCTACTATTGCTAATTACGATATAATATATATATCTATAGAGGCTTGCCCAAAAAAATTGCCGTGCCTCCAACCCTACTCATAGGACGATTAGCTGATGTAGATAATTGCCCGGGTAACTTATTTATGCACTTTAAAGTACTTTTTAGGAACGTAACGTTTCACTAACAGAAATAGCCGTCACTGTGCGAAAAGATCATACGATATTATTTTATATAAATAATGTAGACAGTCAACCAACTAAAAAAAAAGGTAACCGAAATGCGTTTGTTAAAGACTCAAACTATGTTAATTTAACAACTATTACTAATCGTTTAGCTTGATATATCAGGTATAAGCTAGTTAAAATGAAAGAGCGGGTTTATATTCGAATTCGTTTGGTTATTGTAACATTCTCAGGTTTATTGATCATAGATGGTAGATTAGGTTTATAGATAATATATAAAACATATAAAGTGCTTGGTTTTGGGTTTTGGTAGAGTTTTCTGTTTCTAATATTGCAAACCGAATATTAAAATGTTGTAATTTGATTGGTTGATTGTGGAGAGTAATCACGGGTTGACTTATAAAAATTAACCAATCAAATAAATGTTCTCCTATGAATATATTATGTCTAACTTTTCTTGTAGATTTTTAAAACCAACTTTCTTTTATAGATAAATTAAAATTTCTTAATATTTTACTAAACTAACAGCTTTTAACCTTAAATTAAACTTTTTTTTACAACTTTCTGTTTTATAAACAGTATAAACTTATTTATACTTAATTATAGTACAGCAGTAAAAAATTGGTGAACTTTTGAGACCAAGATTATGCTCGATTTTATTTTTAATCGCTATCTAAATTTTATAAGAAAGTGCTTCAAATGGTAAAAAAAACAAATCCCCTTCTACTTTGAACTAGTTCTTACATTTTTTTTTTACTAAATAAAAGTCGGGAAGCATTTTTTGCGCAAATTTTTCATGGGAAATTTTAGATGCGTTGATCATCTGAAAATTTTAATAAGGTATGATCGTTAGGATTTTTCCCGCCACGTGATTTTGGCCAATTAGATCGAAGGATCAGGTGTAACGTAAAATCAAAACAATCGATTAAGCGAAAGATTTTAAAGTAATAAGCTTCATATAGGTAAAATTTTGAGTTAATAGCGATTTTTTAAAAAGACGTGATTTTCACGTTACGTGGCGGAAAAAATCTTGTGGTTGTAAAAAAGCTACTGTCACGTGTAGATCGGCCGTGACTTACCAATCAGAAAGATCAAAAATCAAAATTTTGACTTTTGTGATCTAAAAAAAAGTTCTTAAGCAATTTACTATAAACCCTAGCCTTTATTAGAAACACTAAACGAACTTAAAGATTTTTTGGTGCGTCACAAATATTATCACGTTACAGTAACTTTTTTACGGGGATCCGATTTTTTTGTCATACTTTTCAAAACGATCTAATTCTGGTCAAATCCGCAGATCATTTGGCCCTGGGTTTATCAGTTTTAAAACTGATAAGGTAGGGCCAAGTAATCTGAAGAATTGACCAGAATTAGATCGGTTTGAAAAGTATGACAAAAAAATCAGCCCATATGGGGATTTACTAATTTTCCCCTCAAGTTCCTATTGGCTGGAATTATTCGCACCAAATTACATGTCATTTTATCCTTAAAAGTTAAGTTAAATGTCAGAATTAAATAGACAATTTTGTAGCAAAATCATGCAAGGAATTTTTTTTGTTAGTACGCAAAAGGCGATTTCTTAGGCGAAGTTTTGAGATAAATGAGTCTTTTCAAAAACAAGCGATTTGGTTTTTTAATTTTTATGATTATTAAAGATCGTCGATTTTATCCAATTAGAAATGCGATTTACTCACGACCAATAATAACCGGATTATGGGCGGATAAATAACGTGATTTTCATGCAGTTTATGCTGTTAAGTCAACGGAATGATTTATAGTAGCATCAAAAAAGATAATTTTGTAATCGCTTAAGAAAAAGTTTTTCCATAGCGACTTTATTGATTGCACGCTTTTGATTTCACAATTCATATTCTACTTTAACATTTGCAGATAAAGAATTAAACCGAATAGATTATTGTTATTGTACGTTTCTTTTTTCCTTTTAATCTTGAAATTTAAACAAATATGCTTTCATAAAAAACTTTATCCAGGTTGTAACCCAAAAAAATAGTTCCAATTACCGTCTCAAGACTTTTTTATAACACAGCAAATATGTATTCACAAAAGGTTTGCTATGATTAAATTATGATTCACTCATGAAAATTTAGTTTTAACCAATTTTCCTCTTATCAAAGGAATACAAGCCAGTATATGGGTCTTTTACTAACAGGGAAGACATCGATGCAATAATAACGAATACTAAAATATTAACACCAAAAAAAGTAAGTGATATAAAAATTTGGTGTGAAATTTCAACCATAACATTTATAAAATTATACCAATGCTATGATAGGTTCCTTACACCATAGGATGCCCACCGCTTAAAAGAGGTAATAGTGTTTTTGTCTATTTAAAGCCATTATTAGATCTAGATTTTAGTCAACTTATGTCACATCAAATGTTTTTGGGACTAGGTGGTAAAAGAATGGCTTCATCCAAACCACAAAACTGTGATACGGAAAGTCAATCAATACATTATCCTGAAGTATCAAACATCAAAAATTCATTATTAATGTCACAGGCATCTTCGACAACTATTATACCCACTGCTAGTCGATCGGTTGATCCTGTTAATACATCAATAACGGCACCTGATCCGTCAACAATTACGCAGCCTTTTACATGTAACCAATCCTCGAATGAAAAGAACCTAATAACATCATCAACAAATATATTAAATGTACATCACCCCTCATCATCTGGTAAAAACATACGGACAACTTCAGAATTAACAATTTCGGATGATAAATCATCACAATTTTCATCATCCGAGAATTCAATTCCAATTTCCCCTCAAAAAGAGAGTAATGTACCAAAGAACATTTTCAGTTTTAATGATGGAAGGAGCATGCAATTGATATCACAGAATAAATCAATGCAAAACGATGCTCTCGATATTCCATCAGAATTAGATACTCCCAAACGTCATCATTCGACAAATAGTAATGGATTCCCACCGCTTGCTAACTCAAATGCAAATACTGGACATTCTGTCAAGCCTGCATCGAATTGTAATCATCAGACCATTCAAATAAATGGTCAGACTATAGATGAACCATCACAGATTACGGCATCTGTTACAAATAACAACGTAAACGGCTGTATTAATAACAATATTAATAATAATATTGTTAACACTACCACTACTTCTGGAAACTCTGCCCCCAAAAATGGCATCCCTACTCAAGACGTTGGAAATCAGCAGCTCGCTAAAAATACGAGCAATGGCGCATCGACAAATAAACAAATGAGATGGGCGGATCTATTTAACAAAAATGACGAAGCACCAACTGTTACATCGTCAGCCGCTCCTAAGCCAACTTTAGTTAAGCCACCACCTTCTAGCAAACAAGAAAAACCGACTACTCCTTTACCGAATGGAAAACCCGCCGCGGGTGGGTTAGCAGGTGGAAAAAAATATAATAGATTATCTATCTTTAGGTGTCTTTAATATAAAAATTTTTAATCAAATTTTAAAATATTTTACATTATAGGAGTTCTGTCAAACTTTGAGCTGTCATTACAAAGGGCCGCCATTCAGCCACGTGGCCTGGTTAATAACGGTAATATGTGCTTCATGAATGCGGTATGCCCATCATTTTTAATTCAATGATTTGTATTGTATTTCACCAAAAACTGACATTATTATGCATTTTAGATTCTTCAAACGCTTTCTCACTGCCCTCCATTCTATAATCTGTTGGCACGTATTAAGAAGGAAGTTACACACAGTTTCAAAGGCAAAACACCGCTTGTCGATTCATTGTTAGTATAGATATTTTGAAACTGCTTTGAAACTCATTAGTGATTACTTGATAATATGATTAATTACTTATTTTTAATTAGGGTCATGTTTGTTAATGAATATAGACAAGTTAGAAATTCAGAAACGGAAGGTTCGTTTTGTGTTACATGCATTTTAATATCAACTATCCCTCATTTTTGTTTTTGATAACATTTATGAAGCATTTGGTGAGCCGATTTTACCAGACTATGTGTATGATGCTTTACGTGGCCTCAAAAGGTTTGATTCTATGAAGGGACGCCAAGAAGACGCTGAAGAATTTCTTGGCTTTTTACTTGATGGGTTACATGAAGAATTTTTGGCAGGTATGTTATTTTGGTTACGAACTTCTTGTCACTGATAAAATATATTAATCCATTATTTTTTTATAGTCTTCAGGCCAGGTGGTGAATTACAGGGATCCCGTAATAAGCAATCAACCAATGGTAATAATGATTTGACTGAAAAATCTGGCTCTAACAAAAATGATGAAAATGAAAACGCATGGATGGAAGTCGGACCAAAGAACAAAACAAGTTATACCAGAACTGTCAGTATATTTTTTATGCATTTATCTCGTTTAGTATAAATCTATTAACATATACCCTTTTTCATAGACTGATATTGAAGAATCACCAATCAGTCGCATTTTCGGAGGTCAACTTCGTTCAGTGCTTCAGTGCCCAGGAAGTATTGATTCTATAACACTTGAGCCATTTCAATCATTGCAACTTGATATTCAGGTATGATCAAAATAATTAGGTCGTAATCCTTATTCAATGAAATTTATTAGCTAAATTAAAATTTCTTTCAGCCTGATGACGTAAAAACTGTTGGAGATGCACTCAAAAATCTTACCAACCCTGAATATGTCGATGATTTTTATTCAGCAAAGAAAGACTTGGTATGTAGAAATGTTCGTATTACTTATTTATCATCCATATTTCTAACCTATGTTTTGTAATAGGTTCGTGCTACCAAGCGATTATACATAGAAACACTTCCGCCTATCCTCACTCTTCATTTAAAGAGATTCGTGTATGACAATGTTGGTGGAACACAAAAATTGAGCAAACATATTGGATATTCGACAACGTTATCAATTCAACAAGGTGTGTAAACTTTTAATAATTATCTATAGCTAATATATAACGCATACACTCTAAATAATTCTTATCACTCGATCAGAATTGATAGCTCCTAGTCAACGTTTAGGCAAAGTCATAGAGTATCAACTCTTTGGAGGTCAGGATTGTTTTATTTTATTTTATTTATTTGTTTTTTTTTTTATTTTGAATTATTATTCAAACATCATATTTAATTTAGTGGTGTATCATCATGGCAAATCTGCTACTGGCGGTCATTACACTGCGGATATTCTTCGTTACGACGACGAATGGCTTCATATCGATGATACATCAATTACGCAAATTTCAGCAGAAGAAGTTGCGATTTTGGAAAATCCCACTCAGCCGACTGATCGTTCAGCATATATTTTATTTTATATGCAGAAGAGTTAAATAACTACTTCGATTTCGATTGTAAAAAAAATCAATAAAAAAAATTAAAATAAAGAAAAAGACAATAATATAAATAATAATAATCATAACAAAGTAAAATAAAAACATACAATAATTGATACCGTTGAAAAATAGCGCTTTCGACGACTATAGAACTCCGGAAAGAGTAGAATTAAAGATAATTAAAGAGGAAGGTTTCCGTATGATATGCTGTAAAGCCAATCTTATACAGTTATATCAATAAAATTGATCGTATAGATTAGTTATTTTAGAATAAAAAAACTTAGTTAATTTGTGATTTACCAGCAAATTAATAAATTTTCAAATATACTTATGCTTTTAGAATTCAGTTATGTTAATTGCTGATCCGTATAAGATCAGCACAATTTTCTTATTCCATAAGTAGTAAATATACTATGATCTGACAAGAGTCATTATAGTATACGTATGATTTTTTAATTAACATTACTTCAATTTCTAATAAATATGGTTCTAATAGTGGTTAAATCTAATAATGCTGGTGAAATTAAATCAGAGTGGTGAAATTTTACCAATTACCAATTGGTATTGGTGTAATTGATGAATTGGTGAATTGGTGAATTGGTAAAATAGTGGTCATAAGGTTTGCTATATTAAAGTAAAAATGAATAAGTATAAACATATAAATAAAAATAAGAACATATAAATAAGTATAAAGAATAAAAGTAGTTAAATATTAATATTAATAAATAAACATTTTACTTTTTTTTTTATATTAAGCTATCTTTTTGAAACTAGTTTTTTTATTTAGTATAGTAGAACATATATAGTTAAATATTTCAAAAAAGTTATCTTACATTAAAGAGTACATCTAGTTACATGTACATTTTTGATGTTTAATTTAAATAATTCATCTATATATAAGTTTACATTAGTTATTAGATTGGCAATTTAATTACAGATATTACTTATTAAATTCTTGTATTGCAATCCTTACTGTATTATTAGAACATCTTTAATATTAATATTAGTTAAGAAGTTTTAAATGTTTATCTATGTTCTTAAAATGTTTATTATATTTTATACAGTTTATTTTTAAGACATTATTACTAAAACCTTTTATATTTTAATTTATGATTAATCTGGTTTTTAACTTTTATAAAGTTTATACAACCTTAGTATCTTTTTTTTTATAATCTTATCAATATCTTATTTGTCTTTGCATTTAATTAATGATATTCTATTATAAAATAAAAATATAATAACTTAGTAAAGTAGATAAGTTGTTATCCTTCTAATTATAAGTTTAAAACTTATTAATAACAAAAATTTTAACAATTATCTGCATTAAACAACTGTTTTTATTAATTAGTTAAAAATAAAATATTTATAATTATAGTTATATTAGTATGACTGGCAGATTATAAAGTATTTATATAATTCTTTTTTTTTTGTTAAGATAACCTCTTTGGTCTTTTAATTTTTATTAATAATTTTTTTAATAATGTAATTCAGTAAACTATTACAGAAGAGTATAAAATTGGTTATATGTATCTTTTAATTGTAATACAGACAAATTTGCTTATGTTAATTTTTTTAAAATTAATTTTTATAATAAAATTTTAACAATTAATTTTAGCAATATACTTTCTAAATAAAAAA